AATAATCATTGTGCCAGTAAGTGTGATGCTAAAAAGCACAGAGAAGTACAAGGTACAAGTACAAGGTTAGGGCTGAGAGAGGATGGCTCCTCTCACACTTTGCAAGCAAGCCAGCTGTGCGTGCAGCTGTCAGGGTGCTTCATAAGCAAAGACGCTGCACAACTATTGCACCATCTCGTGTTTGGAGAAACAGAGGAAATGTGAAGGGATGACACCTTATCAGAGAATATCTCTAACATTTCCTCTCACCTCGTAATGTCTAAACATCTCCAAATTCTCTCCAGTTTGCTTTTCTTCTGTCTTCCTGTGAGGTGTCCCATTTCCTTTTGTGAATTGCTAGTTTCCTTTCACATGACTCTTCACTGCTGTACAAATATTATGGAAAAAAGCCGAATAATGTCAGTACTAAAAACACCGAGGGACTGCTTTCTCTATGAAATTCAGTTGTGTCATTTTATTGCTAAGTTCAAGCATCTGCTCAAATTTTATTTTTGTTTTCTAGCACTTAAGATTTTGATCTTATGATGATTCTTGTCATCATTTAATCCTAAAATAAATTATTTTGAAATTAATGCAGGATGTGAATGTGCAATATTCCCCTTATTCTTCACAAGCTGAAATGAACTTTTATGCCAGCAGTTCCAAACAGGATTGGCAGCCTGTTCACAACACGTGAAAGTACCATGTAAAGAAACAGAAACTTCATCGCTTCTGCTTTCCGTGGCACCTCAGTAGCAAATCTCTCAGTACCACCTCTTCAAAGAGAGATTGAACCTTGAGTTTTCATTCAAGGAGAGGCATGCACAGAATCAGTTCTCCACGTGTGTACCTGCATTTATCTTTGTGTTGTTTCTATAATAAGTTGTGGCCTTAAACTTAAAAATAAGCAAGTGTACTAGTGACCCCAACCTCACCATGGAAGTCAGTCGACATCTCATCACATAACACATGCGTGCAAATATTCACATACTCTGTCTCAGTGGTTGTGGTTCATGGTAGGAGGAGCTACTGAATCAATCCAACTGATAAATGTAGCTGCAAGCTAAGAATGCTGCGTGTTTTCATTCTTCTTTAATAAGCAAACCTCATGACACGACTTCTTTAGAGAACAGTAAAGAAATACGGAAAGTCATTTCCTGTTAATACTCTTTTTGAGAGTTCGTGTGATCCACACAAGCCTTTATTTCTAGAAAGCAGTGCACATGGCTTCTGCATGAGCAAAGCAGAGAGGGCAATGAATAGGGCAGAAATGCTAGTGTTTTCATTATTCACTGTCAAGCTTGGTGGCTTGCCCCCTTGCGTTTGCTTCCGATTATTTGGCAGGAAGTAAAAATACCTTCCTTCTCTATTGTGCATTCTCTAATCTGTGACCCACTAGCTGGTGTTTAGGGTTTGTCCCCCATTTGCTTGGCTTTTTGTGTTGTTTTGAGTTGGTAGGGACTTTCTGTAGTGGTTTGTTGGGTTTTTGTTGGTTGGGTTTTTGTTTGCTCTGTGACCCACTAGCTGGTGTTTAGGGTTTGCTCCTCATTTGCTTGTTTTTTTGTGGTGTTTTGGGTTGGTAGGGACTTTTTGTAGTGGTTTGTTGGGTTTATTTTCGGTTGGTTGGTTGGGATTTTGTTTGTTTTCTTCCCTCCACAAAAATAGATACCAAATGAAAGTAGTCACAAGATCAAGTTTGTTTCCTGGCCTGCCAAGCTAGCAACAGATCCGTGCATTGATCTAAAAATTCACAACTAAATGGAGGTAGTTCTCAGCTGATACACTGGTAAGTTCCTATTGTAGGGCAGCCTCATGTAGTGGCCCCAAAAGGTATAATCTTAAAATGTACTGTACTTTTAGCTCTCTGCGTGCCAGCAACCCAAGCTGTGTGAGTCCTTTTCATAGAAGGGGCATCCTGACATAGTATTGGGAATTATTTTAGACTCAAAGGAAGAAAAAAGATGAACTTTATGTAAGAAGAAGTGCTAGAAGGAGGTAAATTTTAGTTTATGTGGACTAGATGAAGTGAGGACACTGAGACAGAATTTTTTGTTGTCTTAGAGTTCAAAAATGAGACTGATACTTCAGTGTTTTCTATTCTTGAAAAGATGTAAAATAACACCCACAAAGTTGTTAAAATGTACTTTAAATTTTCTTAGCAGAGAAAGTAAAGTTTATTTGAATGTAGCATGCTATATATATAAACATAATTTCTTTTTAAAGTTAAAAATGTTTTTCCTTTTATAAATATGCATATGAGAATTCATCTTTAGAAGTGTTCAGTAGGATTAATACTATAAGGTTGTTTAAATTGCATATTGCTGACTTGTGGAAACACAGAATTCTATCAGGAAAGTTAGTCTACACATTCAGAGAGTTTTAATCTCTGTCCTGATACCGACAAAACAGCAGCATAACAAACACGAGGGTAAACACTGTCCAAATATTGTGCTTTATAGCATAGAATATCTTACATACATTCTTTTTCTAAAATACATTTTCAGCATTTCAAATGATAAAAAGAAAGAAATTAATGCAAAACAGATCAAAACCTTCCTTAGAATTTGGCACACAAAAAGAAAATATCATGCATACTGTATTAAAAACAGTGTGACCAGCAGGTCCAGAGAGGGGATCATCCCCCTGTACTCGGCACTGGTGAGGCCGCACCTCGAGTGCTGTGTTCAGTTCTGGGCCCCTCACTAGAAGAAGGATGTTGAGATTCTGGAGCGTGTTCAGAGAAGAGCCACAAGGATGGGGAGGGCTCTGGAGAACAAGCCTGATGAGGAGCGGCTGAGGGAACTGGGCTTGTTTAGCCTGGAGAAGAGAAGGCTGAGGGGAGACTCAAGGAGCCTTGTAGAGAGGTGGATGCTGGGCTCTTCTCCCAGGTGATGGGGGATAGAACAAGGGGAAACGGCACCAAGCTGTGCCAAGGGAGGTTCAGGTTAGAGAGAAGGAGGAAGTTCTTTACTGAGAGGGTCGTCAGAAGCTGGAACAGGCTGCCCAGGGAGGTGGTGGAGTCACCATCCCTGGATGTGTTTAAAGAGCGGGTAGATGAGGTACTTAGGGATATGGTTTAGGGGGTAGACAGGAACGGTTGGACGTGATGATCTCAGAGGGCTTTTCCAACCAAGCGATTCTGTGATTCTGTGGAATATTATGTGCTGTTTTCAAGGGATTCTTCTCCTGTTTCTTCTTGATTCTTAGCATTCCCTTAATTTCTAATAAAACATAAACATGCTTATATAAAAAGTATATAACGTTACACAGTGGGCCTGTTTTTTTTCTTACCGTATTTCTACTGTACACGAGAGAAAGCTGGTAATCTTCAGCTGAGGTCAAAGATTGTCATATCAATATGATATAAAAATTTCATTTTTAAACTTCTATTCAAGGAATGTCATTATATGATTGTTTTAAAATTTAATGCATGGTGGTTATCCGGAGAAGAGTCAAATTAGTTTAACACACGCTGACAGATGGTTAGTGGACAAAGACAAATCCATTAATAACCCGACACGCTGATCAGCAGTAAAATATCACGTATCTCTGCACTGTGAAAATGGTTGCAAATTATATTAGCATTGCGTTTTGACAGAAGAGATTTCTTTCTGTTGGCACATACCTAGTGACATAAAGATACCTTAGCCCCACTATTTCTTAACTCGCGCTATTTAATTGAATATACTGCTAAAAATGGGTATTCTGTCACAGTCCCAGCAAGGACAGAGGTCAAATAGCAACCAAGTTCTAGGCTTCTCTCATTTAATTTTAAATTTAGTGATTTCAGTTCAGAATATAGAAATGAAGTTAACTCTGCAGGGAATATTCTGTTGCCAATGATATTTATGGGCAAATATTTCCTTCTGTGCAGTTCTGTGTTGAAAGTGGTTTTTCCCTTATTTTCATATAGTTAAAATAGAAAAGCTCTTTTTAGAAACGTTAACATTACTGCCAACATAGAAAACAAAAAGTTTATGAAATCTTCAACATCTATTTATCGCTTTACTACTGCATTTTTATAAATAACAGATATACTTTTGTAATAAACCTGGACCATTTAAACATATTATTGACTTTGTACGTATTAGGCATAATAAAATAATTCACTTATGCAAAATTCTCTTGGTTTTTTTTAATGCAGAAAGAAATTTCTGTGCTCTAATAGCATAATGGCTTGGAGAGAAGTATTCTCTATCATGGAGGGCTGCTAAGGTGTGTACAGCCTGTGCTGTTTCCTGGAAATGTTTCTTATCTTCCTGACTAAGTCTCCATGAAATTCCCCACAGTTTAGTTTCACAGTATTTGTAGTCATCAGGGCAGCTTCACAACGACAACACATGCTCCAGCCCTTCCAATATTGACAGGAACTTCCTAAAACAAAAGGAAAGAAAGAAAAATGTGAAAGAAAAAGGAGGAAAACCTTTTTTTAGTAGATTCCTAGGGATAAGACTAGAAGAAATTACTTGCGGATTAAAAGGAGAGCAATTTGGTTATTCAAACTAATGTACTGCTAAAAATTATATAGATTTAACTAGGGCTCTGAAAATGTAATTTTGGCTTTTTGGGAAAAGGTTTTAGCAGCTGCTGAGATTTACAGGAGTGCAGGCTGGTGTTGTTGCTCTTAACTTTTGTGAAAGATCTTCCTATCCTGTGTTGCAATAATGTGGACTGTGTAGCTACAAAGGGATTTTGACAGTTTTAGGTAATTCCTCTTAGTCTCAATGATCACGGTCATAAATAGGACAACGTGGAAGCGTCTCCAGTAGAGGGCATTGCTGGCAAAGGCTTGCCATGAATCTGGTTCACTTGCCCATGCACGGCCTCCCCCCTTTAGTCTGAAAAATTTTCTACGGTTATTTCACAGGAGAAGCAACGAATATTTTATACAAGCAGTATATCTGCATCTTAATATATTATTTTTCACAAAACCAGTGCTCATTTTGCAACATAATCATTTTGGTCTCCTCCATTATTCAAGTAGCATTCATCCTATCTATAGGAAGAATTCCTATGATTTCTCAGGTAATTCTTCCTGTTACCTCTGTCCACTCGTTATTTTGAGCATCGTAGGACTCCACGGTATCCAGGTACGTATGGCCATCATAGCCCCCAACAGCATATAATCTGTCCCCCAGAGGACAAATTCCAACAGCATCCCGAGGTACGCTCAAGGGGGCCACTGTTGTCCAGGCATCTGTTTTAGGATCATACCTAGGATGTTGCATGAGCACAATTAGAAAAACACATTGTAAAAACACATTTCAAATTTAAATTGCTAGTATTTGCTTCTTTTCTGCTGTATTGTAGCTCAGCTTACGCTGGCACAGAGAACTATAAGTGAAGTGATTAAATATTTAATTTAGCCACTAGAGGGGTCCTCATGCCCATGAAAAGTGCTCATATTTTAGCTTTTTGATTACAGTCTCTCCATTTCTATCAGATTAAACAGTCAATATATTTAGAACATAAATGAGGCCTGTGGGAGTGATAGCATGGCCATTAGTTGACTCAGCAAAGTTAATTTGAATGTATCTTTTTTTCTTTCTCCATAAATATTTTTGTTTTTCCTGTCAGAGCTGATCTTTTCAGAAAAATTCACTGTAAATGAAGTTAAGTATCTCATATAGTTGATACAACATTGTAACACAAAGTGTCTGGCAGTATTTCACATCGGTGTTCATTTTATTTCCAGTTCATCCTCAATTTCCAATATCAACACAAACAAATTCAGGGGTAGTTCCAGCTTTACACCATCTAAATGGGAAGCTTCTCCAAATGAGGAGTTGTCCCCCCTCACGTCCCCTGCTAATTCCGGGCTCAAGTGTTCATTTAGTCCCTTACATTGCGCCATGTGCCAGCACAGCGTCAAAGCAACATCTGAGACACAATATTTCTGTTTGTGAAAAAGAAATGTCCAATATTCGCATTTTCTTAAGAACTGTGTTCATCAGTGGAGAGTATAAGGACGAGCCAAGCAGTATCTTCATTGAAAATTGTAACTATTTAAGAAATGGATGTAAAACTAAGATTTCAGATTTCACTGCTTAGAGATGTTGTGTGCTACCAAAATCATCAGGCCAAACTATTAATGCACTATTTAGATTTAAAATGTGAATTCAGGCTAAAGTATACGGCTTTGGTGTCTCTCTACCTTTTTTTTTCTTTGTCTTTTTAAATCAGACACTTAGCATGTGTTTTAGTCTGATTTCCTATAGCAATGTACTTTCTTACAAAAACAAGGCTCTTTCTATCAGTCTCCTCCATCAGAAAATACCTGTGCAGTGACTACAGCCTGTTTGAGGATGTGGTGTTGGTGATGTTTTTAACCTTTTGGTTAATGTCAGCCAAATTCTTGGAGGAAAAGACAACTGAAAAGTATTGAATTCCTACAATGTATGACACAAGTAGCTCAAACCTGAGTTTTGACACTTGAGAAACAGAAAGAGCATGTGTTGCATTTGTCTTACTTGTTTTGTCTTTACTTGGCTCCTAGGCAGCTCAAATAGAAGGGGGAACTGGGAGGGATTTGCTTCTGCGCGTTGTTTTGTTATCACAAGAACATTGGTAATCAGTTGTTCAGCTCAAAATATTACTTTTTTTAAATCATAATAAGTTTTACAAATGTAACATTCCAACTGTAAAGAGATTTCCCTTGCTTCTAGAAATTATTTTATATTTCCTCGCTGGAATGTAAAGAAAAAAATAAATCCTTACCTTTCCACACAGTCAGAAAGTCGAGAACAGTGGTTGGAAGCAGGTGCATCATGACCTCCCACAGCATACAAAAACCCATTGTATGTTGCAACACCAACACCACCTCTTCTCTTGGACATGGAAGCACATATGCTCCACTTGTTCGTGTGCGGATCGAAACATTCCATCGATTTTAAGCAGGAGCTCCCGTCTCGTCCACCAACAGCATACAGCCTGGGATAATCACCCACAAGAAGGCAAACAATTTCAGTCTCTAATCTATCACTTTAATACAGACTTTATTTGGTTAACTTCATTCAGACCACTTTAAAATTATCATTATGCTCATTATTTGCTATCTGACGGCTACACCTCGGAACTTTCTTTGCACAAAAGGTTTTGCTTGCTGTATGAAGGAAGTAATATTCTTCATCTGCAGTGTAAATTTTCAGTCAGTCACATATGAAAATTAAGCTTAAAAATGCATACCAGCTTCTTGAAATGTGAGCTATAGATGGAATTTAATTGAAAGTGGCTACATATATTTGAAACTTACGGGTATTACTCCCTATTACAGGCTTATGGAGTACTTGGACATCTTAGTACAGCATTAAGCATTTTTCCTCTAATATGTAATAGAACTTTAATAACATCATTATATATCAAAATATATTAAATGTATTTCCTCAGTGTATGTATTTAAGAAAATCTGCTGGACAGAAGTTACCATACAGGTATGTCATCTTGTCTGTTTAGCCTAAAGGCACTTAACAAACAACTGGAGATTTAAACCAGCTGATGTTGGCACTACATGTAAGAATAAATAGCAGAAATCCACATTAAGTAACATGGGAGTTTTGTGGCTTTTAGTCAATGAATTTTACAAAGCCTGAATTTCTTTTGCATTTCAAGCTAACTTGGATGCTGCTAGACTCTGGATACTGGGTGTAATGTCAGACGTATTTAGATGTTCAGCGTGCCAACTGTTCACGTCCCTTTCAAATCCTGGCTATTACGTACTGCCATGAGATTGAATTTACTTAGTGCAACTAGTTAGGGAATGTGTAGACTTGATAAAAGTAATCTAAAACAGATCAGTTGAATTTTGCTTGAGGACTACTCTGCCCTGGTGAGACCGCATCTGGAATATTGTGCCCAGTTCTGGGCCCCTCAGTTCAGGAAGGACAGGAACTGCTGGAGAGAGTCCAGCGTAGGGCTACAAAGATGATCAAGGGAGTGGAGCATCTCCCTTCTGAGGAGCGGCTGAGGGAGCTGGGGCTCTTTAGTTTGCAGAAGAGGAGACTGAGGGGAGACCTCATTCATGTTTATAAATATTTAAAGGGTGAGTGTCACGAGGATGGAGCCAGGCTCTTCTCGGTGACAAACAATGATAAGACAAGGGGTAATGGACACAAACTGGAACACAGGAGGTTCCACTTCAATTGGAGAAGAAACTTCTTCTCAGGGAGGGTGACAGAGCCCTGGCCCAGGCTGCCCAGAGAGGTTGTGGAGTCTCCTTCTCTGCAGACATTCAAAACCCGCCTGGACGCCTTCCTGTGTAACCTCATCTGGGTGTTCCTGCTCCGGCAGGGGGATTGGACTGGATGAGCTTTGGAGGTCCCTTCCAATCCCTAACGGTCTGGGATTCTGTGATTCTGTGAATGTCTGCTTTTTTCCACTGACTGGAAAAAAAATTTAGACCACAGGGTTGTATCATCTAACGAGAAAACTCTTGACCACTTTAAGAATAATACAAAATGTCTAGCTCTCTTTTCTAATGTTTATGAATGAAAGACAAGACTTGAGTTTGGTTGTGCAGTTTGTTGCTTGACCCATAAAAAACTTGAAGATTTGATTTGTTTTCCTTTCACATCGTGCCACTAGATACAGTCTGCTTGCTTACACAGCTTTCACAGAGAGAGGAAGTCACTGTATATACAAAGAGATTAGTTGAGATTTTTTTGTTTTCCATAACGTGTCTAGAAACATGGTAGAGTTTCCCATTCTCTATGGAGAAAACCCAAATATATCATTATTGACTGATGTTTTCCATAGACCATTTATTGGTCAAAAAGTGTTGCTCCACAGAAACTTAAAGTCTTTTCTGGTGGGGATGAATAGAAGAAATATGGCGTGACTTAAGGAAACAAGAAAAGGAGAAGCATTCTGCTTGGTTAGACCACAGCAGTAGCATTGAATGATGGACATTTGATCTTGCCTTTCTCTGGGATGCCAGAAATTACATCACTAGACTAACAGACATGATTGAAGCCAGGCTAGAGACCGCTTGTATCAGGAGTGATTGAGAACACAGCCAGGATCAGGCTGGATTTCCTCTTTGACAAAGTGGTTTCCTGCATGTCACTGTGGAAGCTACCAACAGGAGTTTCTGGTGAAGTTTACGCTGATAACATTTCCTCTGAGATACAACCGGGTCTTGAACAGGCACTTCTGCCTCTCTTGAACTTTGGAGCTGATAATTAAAGTTATGTCATGTTTGAATGCTAAGCCCTGACTTCAATGTGAAGAAGTTTTTCATTTGCAAATATTTGTTTGCTGACATCTTTGTTTCTGTATTTCTTTCTCTGCAACCTAAGAATTAAACAAGGAAGCCAGTGATAAAGTTTCAGGATAAATGCAGTTATCTGCCTGCAACTGTAATATTCCCAGCCCCTGCAAACTGTCATTGAACTTTCCACAGATTTCAGTAAGAAGGAAGGGTGGCTCAAGCCACGTTCTCTAACATAACCTGAGACCTTTTACAAGGCTTTTGTATGGCCAACACCAGACTAAATTGCTGAAGAAGGAAAACAGAATTATGTTAGGTGTTGATACATGAATTGTTCTTCCTGATGCTGAAATACTACTGCTTTCAAATAGGAAGGTACAAGGTGTAACACACTGTTCAGTATAGGCTATGCATTGGATATCTGTTCCTATGTAAAAGTGCTTGAGTGGCTTTGGTGTCTTAGGAGGATGTTTAAACAAGTTTCGCAAATGTTGTTGGGAAAACCAATGTACAGTGAACACGGGATCTCGTGTATTTAACCAATAGCTGAAGAGCAGAATAAATCTGGCTAGAATAAGACTTAGGTTGGCATAAACAGCCTTCTATAATTATTAAAATTGTCTTCCTCCCATTGAACTCACCACATACATTTAACCTTTTAAGAATTTTTCTTGACTGTGAACGTGCATGTTATGGTTGTAGATGCATGCAGGAAGTGTAAAATGACAGCGGAATGACTTTGTTTCTGTACACATTCTTCCAAACGCCGCTTCCTTAGATACATTGATTTTAAAATGTAAACATAAACTTGGAACGTTTGCGTTTTTTTTAAGTAGCTCATCCTATATCCCCAGAAGTTATATTGTAGGAAAAATTCTGAGATGCATGCAATAACATTTTCAAATTGTTATCGCTTAAAAGGGCTGAAATACGTTTAAAACATGACTGCAAATTTGAAAACAATTTACCACACTACAGAGGAATAGCTTTCCTTTCTTATTTTCGTGTGTTACATTTTCTCTTTTGTTTTCTTGAGGTGATTAATTACCGTAAGATTGGAAAGAAAAATTATGAAACTGTATTTTCAAGGAAGGAAGCAAATGAAAAACCAAAGAGAGCTTTTCCTGTTGACATACTTGCTATTTAATGCTGCAACCCCTACAGTGCTTCTAGGGGTTGACATGCTAGCAACGTAATTCCATTGCCGTGCCTGTGGGTCCCATCTTTCTACGGTATTAAGGTAACTCCATCCATCATGGCCACCAACAGCGTACATTGGACCTTCAAGCATTGCTACTCCTTCAAAAATAGAATTAGGGACAAATTACAAGATCTAATAATTTCAGTGACCAGTGGTGTAATAACTTCACACTTAAATTCCCTGTATGCAGATAAGCAATTTCAGCGGGTATTAAACTCTCTAAAAGCTGACTTGTCATCTGGCAGAATAAACAAAATACTTCATATACGGTCTTCTTCTGAATAAGCATTCTCTTTTGTCTAAAGATAGAGGAAATCTGCTTTAGTTCTGATGTTCTCTTCTTGGCCTTCTACCTCTTCCACTTCTGTTGACATTGTTCTGAATCAAATTTGAGCCCCTAAATGAGAAACAGCGCTGTTCTGTTAAAGAACGGTAATGAAAAATACGCCCAAACCAACCACCTATCCCTTATTCTGAGCCAGTTGAAGCTCTGTAGTCCTGCGAGCATGAAGCCTGTGTGGGTAACTGGCTGTCCTTACTAGTTAAAGTACCATAATGTTTTAGTGCCTGTAAGGGGAGCACACTTTTGGGTAAGAGCTGGCTCATATCTGTTGTCTTTGAGACACAGCAGAGTGAACTTGGCTGTCTCCGCAAAGCCCTCCATGGACATTGTCCTTTGTTATTATCCTGTGTCATTGTCCTTCTTCAGGGAGAAGGGCTTTGGTGCCTCCCTTTAGGGAGCTGCTGCTGCTGTTTGCTGCTTTTGTTGGGTAAGGCAAAATGTTTGAATCTGGCTGCTTAAAAGTTTTCTAAATCTGTCTTTTCAGGCCTAAATATACATGGCCTGATTTTTTCAAAAGTGCAAACTCTCCACAAAATCACACTGAAGCTAATAGGAGCTGTAAGCGTAAGGCAGCTTTGCAAGCCAGGCTGCTGCACAGAGAGAAGTTAACTTTGGGCACTGTGACCTACTTGTTGGGTAGAATTATTTCCCTGCAGTTGGCAATTATAAAGACTTCAATGAGAATTATTTAATGTTTTGTCTTCTTTCCCTTTGCTACCTGCTAGTATTTGCTTCTACAAATTTGACAGACTAGCCCTGCACTATACTTTGTCCACCAGGCAGTGGAGAAAGTGATATAGGCCACAAAGGGTTTGCAAATAATTCTGCATTAATCTTTTCCTAATATTCGTTAAAACAAAAATAGTCTATGTCATTTGAACGTACCAATTATTTCAAGCAATACCTGTTTCTGTAAACTTAAGAGAAGCCAGCTTTTTCATAAGGACTGCGATATCTAAATCATTCAGTAATCGTCACATTCCGTCCTCAACTGTAAACTTATCCTTATTTTTTCATAGTTCCAGAAATAAATTCTAGATTTCATGTTCATATTATTCATTCACTGTGAATAATATTAAGCATTATTGTGCAGCAAAGATAGTAAGCCATGGCAGAGCTCTGTAAAACTTGTAGTCACACCATTAAAATTAGAGAAGTAGTACTTATTGCCGTACCACAACATTTTCTGCAGTGGGAGTAATTCTCTGATCTGACTTTCAGAGGTGGTTGCTACCTATGGGCTTAACCTAAGTAATAATTTTTTAAAATACTGAAAATCAGATTGTTGTATTGTAAACAGATCTCTCGACTACTAAATTGGGCAAAGAGTTGATTATTTTGGCTGCTGCTTATATTTTTGAATTTTCTAAAAGCACAATTAATTCTGGAAGACCAGTGTAAGTTGGGTGAATACCAATAAATATCACTGGCATAAAATTAGAGCAATAGGCAAGTCTGACTTTGAAAAGTATCTTCTACAAATACCGCTCCGTGTTAGAAAATGCTTTAAAAAGTTATGTCTGCAGTGTTTGTGGCAACCAAAATTCATCTGTATGTGATCCAAGCTATTTACAAAGAAGGAACACCTCTTACCTAGGCCATGTCTGTGTGTTGACATAGGAGGCATTATAGTCCAAACTTTGGTGATAGGGTTGAAACACTCGACAATGTTAGAAGTTTTCAGACCATCTCTTCCTCCCACAATGTAAAGCTTGTTGTCAATTACTGCAACTCCAAACTGCAGTCGTCTGCCGTTCATAGTACCAATTTGTATCCAACTGTTAGTCCTAAGGTCATACTTTTCAATTGTAGTGGTACCTGTTAAAAATGTAAGTATTAGGATATAGCCGTGAACCGATCAGCACCCAGCAGTCAGCAGTTCCTACAGCCCAAAACATTTTTCAGTTGTAAACCACTGAAATTCTGTCTGTGGACTTTTACTGCGGCTTCCTGAGAACTTCAGGGAGATGTGAACCTAGTGAGAAAGCTGCATTAACTGCGTGCATATATAATTGTCAAATTTATGAGACTAAAACAAGGGCAAGAAATTGCAAATTAAATGCCAGCAATTTTTTTTAATACTGAAATTTTAGGCTATAATTTAAATCTGTTGCTCATTTAAATACTATTAGGGTAGGTTGTCTGTGGTTTGGTGTTTGGTGGGGTTTTTTTTGAGGGGGGTAGCAGTTTTCTTAAACTTCTTATGACTATGGTACCTCACAACTATGAGGTACAACAACCACCTCGAAACTCTTTAACCATGTTTGCGCTTAAACCATTAGTGACATCCAAAACTGAAAATGTATCCACGTGTCTGACAGGCCTTGGGCATGCATCTTCATGAGTAGTTTGGATATCTTCCATTTCAAGATGGAGACAGGCAGAAGGCAGAGTTTTGTGTGAGTACACACTTGCTTCCCACAGGCAGCTTTGTTAAGGTTCACCTTTGCAGATGCATTAACTTCTTGGCTGTTGTAATATATAAGCTGTATTTTTTTTTATGTCATTGAGCTTCTAGTAATGTTTTTACTGCAACTATTCATAAGGCCTAGCTCTCTGCCACTCAAAGCTGACACTTTTCCATGCACTGGCTGCTGTCAGTCACTCAGCAGCTGTAATTGCTCCTTTAAGAGCCGATTTAGCGCAGCTGGGACATGGCTGAGTGGCAACCAAGGTAGAAGAGGCAATTGCCAGTTGCACATACAGTGCAGCCTGGAGCTCTGCTTCAGCTCAGCTGAAGGTAACCAGATGAGAAAGAGAGAGTTGATTTCCTCCCTGATCCTTGACTAGGATTTGAGACTGGAGAAGTAGCATTTTGAGAGTTGCAATAGCCAGTTAGTGCCTAAGGAATGGTTTGCAACAGCAAAATAACCGTGCAATAAAGCAGAAAAGAAAGGTAGCATTTGGCTTAGAGATGTTTTCACAAGTAGAATCTGCTATATATCATCAGCTATACTTAATAAATTTAGTGAAATAAGAGCTTATCTCATAGTATCTTTCCTCTACGTGCTTTTTCAGATGCATAGGTTAGGAAAGAAACTGCCAGATCCACCTGCAATAAAAGAATGCAATTCTACTTCTTCCTTCTTCCTGTCTTCTTTTATTCTGGTCAGATGGATTTCTCCGACTCTTCTTTCCATTTGTTAGTCTGTTTGCTCTTCTTTGCATTGATTCCTTCTCATTTATTTTATGCTAATATGTGAGTGCCCCAAAATACATGAGGGTATACAGTGTTCATATGTACCCTGTAGGCTGTAATTTTTACAGAGGCTTGAAGGTAGGTTTTTAAAGTTCCTGTGGTTTAGGCAGGTTCACATTTTTCAACATACTTGCCCAGGTGTCTCTTTAATCTTCTTTCAATCATTTGAAGCTGAGATTTGACTTCATACACCACCTGAGATATGCACAAAGCCAGGCCTGGTGTTACCTGAGAGTTTTATCACAGAAAGTGTATTATTGCCAGAGGTGGTAGTTACTCCCTTCTCAGAGCTGTTCTTCCAGTGCATCATAGCCTCGTAGGTGCTGTTTCCTTTATCTTATAATCCAGCACAGGCTCAAAATATGAGTAAGAACTGCAGACAGGAGCAGGAAGGAGAGGAAATGCTGTTCTTAACCATCAAAAGGCAGAAGTTCAAACAACTGGCTTTACTCCAAGGTAATAAGTAAAAGAGGCACCAACAGGAAGTGCAGATGTTGACTGAAATAGCCCTTTCTTTGCATAACCTTTACTGAGGAAAACCTATTAAAAAAATTCATCCTTGTTTTGGTAGAAGTAGGTTGAAAGATTACCTTGAATTCTTGATTGTTTCATATAATTCGTAAATAATCAGCATCTCTAATGAAACTATACTAATTGCTACAGTTTGACTTCATTTTGCCAAACTGCCCTAGGAATGAGTGTTCTCGTGTTGCGATGGTGATAAATGTATTTTGAGCTTGATTTGATTGCATGGGGGTAGTAAGGTAGCACTGCAAGATCTCTCACATAGGAAAAGTCAGTCATCAGCAACTTTGTGCAAACCATGAAATGGATTAGCTTCTTTGTGATTCTATTAAAAGTGAACTCACGCAGTTAAAAGTAATGCTGTTCAGCAAGTCGCTAGACTTGAAACTAATTACAGTTCTTTGGCTCCAAGCTGCGGGTTTGAAGTTAAGGTTCCTGTACAAAATGATTTCATATACTGCCTACTAAATAGAAAAGTGTAATGTGTAAAGTGGTAAGCTGATTGCGGTTGTGAAACTCAGATAATAAAAACTGGAATATATTTATAGCATTTAACTTTCAAACCTGAAAAAACCCCTGTGTATGAAATCCTTAAAGAAAGCTGCACATACTGTTACAGTCGTGAAAAAGTACAGGCTTTTCCATCTGCAATGTTATAATAAGGATTGATAAGCTTTAGCTAAGTTCTCAATAATTCTGTAATGCTTTTTACTTTTGTTTTCATCCTCTTTAAAATTTTTTTCAGCCTCCTAACTTTCGTCAAAAAATGGAGCACAGAGTTATAAAACAACATTAAACAAATATAGCAATATTTTTAATATTCTTTTGAATTGTAAAGTAAAACTGTACACACAAGTTCTTACAGAACATAGTTTTAAAATCACCACCTGACTCAAACTTCTTCATTCTGTGTGTGTATCATTTACAAACGTATGATTCTTGCAAGAAGAACATCAGACACACTGGACTGGGTTCTATGATTTCATTAATCTTCCTTTTCATCCCTAAATTTGTCTTCTTCAAACAGAGATCATTAAATGATAGTCATATATTGTCTGGGTGTCCATAATACAATTAGTTGATTCAATTAAATTCATTTCTGAGCTTACCTTTAGTGGCATCCATACCTCCTACAGCATAAAGTGCACCCACTGTAGATTTTCTAGGCTTAGTTCGAGGACTCTGCATCATGGACCGTCTTTCTGGTAGCAGGTGGTACTTCATAGCCTCCATAAGAAGTTTCTGACACTCTAGGTCGTCTGCAAACATTGGACTGTTTTCTAGATCAGCTAGTAACTAAGAAATGAAAAGTGAGGATCACATGTGTATCTAAATCATTAAAATCGTATATACTTCAGTAACTAAATTATTTGTGGTTGCAACATTCATTTTCAGTTCACCTCTCGCTCAGGCTTTGCTGGAAACTCCGCTTTAGTGCAAGCAAAGCAATATAAACATAGGGAAAAAAAGTCTTTAACTGTGATGCCTTGCTTTATTTTTTCCAAAAACTTTCTTATAACCTTTAGAAAAGGTTAAAATTGCAAATGTACAACCACACTCTCCGAATGCAAAATGTCTTTTGATGTGAGGATAAGCAAATCTAACATACAGTACTGGACATCTTTGTGACTATTATAATATATTAAATGAGGCATATATTTAAAATTAAATGTATATGGTGTTCTGATACTTAAACCAAAGTTGACTATTTGCAGCTTCAGTCATGGAGATCTACGGAGTAACTGTAGTGTCCTGAGAGTCCTGATATTCCTATAAGCTTTTCTGATGAGATATGCAAATTCTTCTATGACACAGATACCACAGTGTCAGCTTACTATAAAATGGTGTAACCATCTCTGGAACTTATTTGATGAAGTGTCTCTTTCAGTCTCAGAGGACAAGTAATGTCAATGCTCAGAATAATGCAATAATCTGAACCCTTTTGGCTTTGTCTACTTTCCATGGCCATAAGGAAATAAGTATTATACCTTATCCATTCTGCAGTTTGGGAAATCTAAATAAATAGCTCTGCATGGTCTCTAAGTTGCACTGTTATTATAGGAAAACTATTACTGTTAAAATCAGAATAATTTGGTTGGAAAAGACCTGGAAGATCATCAAGTCCAACCATAACCAAACTCTACCAAATGTTGAGCTAAACCATGTCCCTTAGTACCAAGTCAATGCATCTTTTGTGCTCCTCCAGGGGCGGTGATTCAACCACCTCCCTGGGAAGCCTATTCCAGTATTTAATCACACTCTCCATCCAATAGTTTCTTCTAATAACCAACCTAGACCTCTCCTGGTGCAACTTTAGGCCATTTCTCTTGTCCTATCACCTCTCACTAGAGCAAAGAGACGCACACCCACCTCACTACAACCTTGTTTCAGGTAGTTGTAGAGGGCAAGAAGGTCTCCCCTCAGCCTCCTTTATTATGTTGCTACCCAACAAAGAAATACTGTACTTTTGTAATACCGTTAGACTGACGTTTTTATAGAGGTGATTTTGAGCCTAGTAATTACACTGGCATTGTGGGATTTTTTTTCATCTGTTTTTACAAATAATAAACATACCTACTATACAGTTCAAATTTAAAAAAGAGGGGGGAAAAAATCCCCACCAAATAAACCCCAGCCAAAACCAGGACCTTTCCACAGAACTCTTTTCTCTGTCTAAATGATGCCTGAGGCAAGCATTTCACCCGTTAGCCCTTTACTTTCATACCTGAGGTGGAAGTAGAGGAAGTCTAATATAGGAGAGAAGCATTCCTAGGTCTCGTTGCCGGTTTTGCAGATCGTGCCTCACCCACATCATCAAGGCCTGGAAAATGGCTTCTTCATCTGGAACGTTGATGTCATCGCTAGACAAGAGCTTTGCAATTTCATTAGCAGGAAGTAAAAGAAATTCCTGGTTTTTTATTACTTCTGTGAAGTGTTCCTAAAAAGAAAAAGAGGTTTCAATGCACCGATGATTTTCACATCATGAAATAACATTTTCTTAGATAACGTAGGCTTTGCATATATTTCATTCCTGTCCTGTTCTATGGTATAGGGAAATGAGATATATTCTGAAAATCACTGAATCTCCTTCTGCCATTTGAAGATCTTTTGATTGCTTTTTGCTGCCTTACTCTTGCAGGACTGAAGAATAATGATCATCATCAAACTACCATGCTTACAGATAATTTTGTCAGGCTTCTTCTCAGTGTGTTCTGTCTTAGGGATTTGCCGCTGACAGTTTTGTCCATCAATGGGATCTTAACACTGCAGCTTAATTGAAAAACAAATTGAAGATATAATATGTGTCTTAAAAATGCCAAGCAGGTATATAAATAAATGTTGTCACTTCTGTTACAGTCGGATTCAAGTTTTACAAGTTTTAAGCAAATTACATTGAAACCTTCCAGTCATTTTGCAGCAAACTGTGCCAGGTGTTGATGGGATGTCTCCACTCTTAGGAGCAGAAAATACAGCAAGGGAAATTAAACTCACTGTTCTACCAGTACTTTTTAATCTAAACATAGTATATTGTGCAGTCAAGTTACACCACTATTGGAATTGCTATTAAGTTATATTAATATATAGTGCTAATTCCAAAGGAAGAAAGAAATTTTAAGAGATGGATTTTTTTATGTTGTGTGCAGAGAAACACATGTAGGAATTTGTGCCTATATTTGAAATATTAATTTCCATTTATGTACCTGGAAGTAATAGATCGTATTTGGGAACCAAATTGAAATAGGGCAGAAGAAGAAATTTTAGTAACTGATATTTGCATTATTTGTTTTCAGTAGTTTCTTAGCTTTCTGTAACTATTTTCAAGAGTACCAAGGACATAAATATAGAAGTGTCAGTGATTAAAGGAGACGTTAACTTTGCTCTGCTATGCGTATCCTGCTTTAATATTTTGTGACATTCAGAGAATAGGAAGAGGAAGGCCAGTCCCCATTTAGCTACAGATATAGGCCAAGATGTTTATCAGAACAAACTCTATCTGCATGAAAATATATCAGGCAGGAAACTGTTGGTGCTTTTCATCAATGGCTAGGGTACTTGAAAGGGAAGGTCCCTGTTTTGTCTGATCTTACTGAATGGAGATGGTGTTTACAGATTAGTATCTTCTGAAAATGTTTAAATACTACTAGTTCATTTGAACGGTCTCTGTTATCTGTATTTACAGTATGACTTTCTAGACTTTCAGCTAAGGTTTGTATTTTCAAGTGGTTGAGGTTGGCGTGAAACAAAACAAAGTTCTATTTATCCTCTTCCGCAGCACTTGTGCGTGCATCATGATGATCTCTTATTCTCCAGAGATTTTTTTTTAAATCACTTCAAGGGTTTAAAAGAAGATTTTCTTTAAGGTTATTTCAGAGAGGGGCAGATTTCCTCTTCTGTTTCTAAACTGTCAGTAGCTGCAAACTTGGTTGGTGGTGTTGTGACATGCAAAGTCCTCTTTCATAGCAGCATTCTCGATCTGTGCTGCACACAAGATATGGGAGGTGGTCCTAGAGGTGGAAATGCTTTTATGAAGATATACTGTAAAGCACAGTAGTGCTCATTCTCAAAGATTCGCCATAATCTATCACATGAGACGGTGTTCTTAAAGCCTCAACTATCATTGCTGTGACGCACAGTATTAAAAAGTAGTAAAACTCTCACTCCTGGGGAAGACTGGAGGATTCAAATGGTTTAAAAAAATCTAACCACAAAAGGCTCTCCTATCATAAATCCATGTCATAAAACCGTAAGTCTGATCATAAATCCATATCATAAAACCATAAGTCTGATCATATGATTTTATTTCCATTTTACTGCTATCTGGACCATGCATTTTAAATACTTGAAGTTGATGCCTGTGCGCCAGGGCTGGTGGGAGAAAAGCCGCAACAGTAGAGGAGGAACTTCCTGATTTTGGCTGAGTATAAAATGGTGTGAGGCAGCAAGGACAGCACTGTTATTCAGAGGTTGAGTGAACCTCTGTCTTAAATGCCCTTTTAAAAATCTTAAAATTTAAAAGGAACCTAGATTGCTGCTGAACAAACCATGCATTAGTATGACAGGAAGGAGCATAACCAGTGCCCTCAATCCGCACATGCCACACTCATTTATTTCAGCATGTGGAAGCGTACAATCTCTTGCTGGAATGCTCTCAGCATTATGAAGGCTTTAAACTGGTTTTGACATACTACTCTAATATTTCAAGCATAAAGCTGCCATGTGTCTCCTAACAAGTAGTTCTTTTTATATCTATTTAGCTGTAGTGTTGCTATTCTTTTTGTGTTTAAAGCTGCTATAGCACATCTTGTTGTCCTGAATATTTATCCCTTGATTTGGTTTCACAGCAAGCTATCTTGCTTCTCTGTTTCCCACGCTCTGAATATTCTTTTCTTGCTTTGAGCCAGAGAAGGATTATACTCTAGTCAGTGATGTGCTCCTTTTTAGCATTCCAAATCTTTCCCATACATTATTTTGTGCCTTTTAATGTGTGTCTCACCTTAAAATCAGCTTTAGATTTTTCTTTCTGTTGAATCAAAGGCATAAGAATGGGCCATTGCTGTTTCCCTCTTAACATTGGGCATGTTGAGGCTCAATTACATTTTTTGGAAGAAATGTGTACAAATCATGCTGCAAATTTATGTTCAATAAGTATGTTCTTCTGCAAGGCAGAACTCTGAAGTGGGAAGCAACAGAACTGAACATTTGTTTTTCTAAGCACGCTTTTCTCTCCTTCCAATACTTCCATAACAGTCACAGTTCTTAAGTTTCCCTTGGAGACTGAGCTGGACAGAAATGTCCCCACATTAGGGACTTGACAGAACTGACCCTGCCAGGGTAGGAAGAGCAGAGCCACTGCATCAGTCTTGGAGACAGCAGCAGCCCTGAGCCCTGTCAGCTGGCTGTGCTTCGCCAAAGCCCGTATGTTTTCCAGAAGACTGTTCCCACTTGCTGCTAACATCATTGCAAAGCGGTTAGGTTGTTCAGCTCACCATCGTGTACGTGTGTGCCACCTTCAGGAGCTCTGCGCAGCCCTGAGCATCTCCGAAAGAGCGGATCCCCAGGCAGTTGGAAGGATGGAGCTGCTTCATGAGGAAGTTGCAGCATACCTCAATAACCTGGGATAGCTGGAGAAGACAAGCTGCAGCTAGCAAACTTTCTATAGTGTCTTCCTTTAACTCTAGAATACCTGTGCAGTTTGCATATAAGGGAAAAAAAATCAGTCACTTTCTTTGTATTTTTATTACTTGAAAGCTTCCCACTCCCCAATTTTTCTTCTTCTCTGAAAATTTTTGAAAAGCATGTCCTGTGATTCACAAATTCATTTTCCTTTCTTGCCAAAGGCTTTTTGAACATGTATTTTTAAAAGACTTGGTAGATTCTGAATACAATGATTGGAATATTTTTAGTTGGACCTTTAACAGTATTAGATCTGAAGAAAAGTCAAATAAAAGGAAAGGTATGATTAAAGAAAAGCTTTTCCTAAAATAAATAACTTAATGAAATATATCTCAGAAGTCTGTATTACATACAAGAACTTCAGTTGCAAAACCTAGGAAATGGCAGCAGGGTGTGCAGGAAACATGATTACCTGTGCATTGGAATTTTTAATGAAATTATGATACGGCATGAGAATTTTGTCATGGTCATAGGTAGACTGGAAGGTGTTATTTTAGTAAGATCTTCCATTCTTGTTGCTCAGTGGATGGCTTAGTTCCCTAGTTGATACCACAGCACTGAAATCTATTCTGAAAAAAACAGCTGTGGAGGTTTTTTATGACTGTGTTTTCCATTTATCATTACAATATCCAGTTGCCTCAGAAACATTCATTTCTTCCTCAGCTGCTTCTGTGAAAGGATGATAAACGCTATCTCCATTTGATGTATGGAGAAGGCCAGTGTTGAGAGATTACAGTCACAATTATCATCAAAGTAGAACTGTTAAGAGGTTTTTTGTCCAAAGTTCACTTCTGATTTATTTTAGTAGAATATGACGACAACCCTGAAAGTTATAGCTCTCTTCTCTGAAAGTCACATTTATATTTCATTTACCTAAGAAAAAACTAGCACTCAGTTTAGAGGTTTGGTTACTATCACATGAAAACCTATGACTGAGGCAGTAGGAAAATTCATTTTCCATAGCAGAATTCAGCAGTTTTAACTTAGCACAGACCCATCTCTTCTGTCCCTTCCTTTGTAACTTAAATAATACCTCCCAACTTCTGCACAAAATGAGGAAGGGCTGGCAGGGAGCAGAACAGGGCAATGTTTGGGTTTGGTTTTGACTGTACAACTCGGAATAGTTACTGAATGGATATAGCAAAATTGGTACCTGTTCTTGTAAATAAGGCTTGCAATATAATGCCTCAGAGCAAAGAGGGAATCCTGACTGCACAAGCAAGCTTACACTATTTCATAGTCTGGCATTTGCTTTTGTAGTCTTATATATGTTCTCTCATATGGTTTTGCATTAAGCAAATTGAAAGTGATGAATTTTAATCAAGTGGGATGATTTTGAGATACGTGGGGATAATAAGCAGCCCATCACCCAGCTTCTTTGTGCTTCTACTAATCTATTTCCTCAGGTAATGTATGCTAATTCAGTGCCACAATATCACTGCATTATACATGTCGAGCAGCACTCCCTCTCACCCTCTGTATTTATCCCTTGTTTGTACCCACAGACAGGGTCTCTTCTGTGTATAGAAACTTATGTTTCTGATCCGGGTTGCAGATTGCTTAACCTTCTGGAGATGTCTTTCTTTATGCAACAGTCCAGATTTATGGTGCCTGACCTAACAAGTGAAGAAGTCTCCTATTTTTAACATTTTTGCTAATGCCGATACGGTAAATACAACGAGGTCTTTGTTTTACTTTAATTTTTTAAATTATTATTATTATTCTAAGCACTTTCAAAGTGCTATAAAAATATTTATAGACAGCTGTGATACATCTTCCAGCAAGCAAACATTCATAAATTCAGAAAGTTGTTCTTCTAGTCAGCTAAGTGTTGTTACTTCCTGCGGAGTTATTTCTCTTTTTGAGATTTGGGGCTTTATTTGTCACAGAACTGCACAACTTGTCAGTGGAAAAAGGGTTTCCCCTTTACCTTTCTGGCTGGAGTAGCTGCTGTCTGCATTAAGAGGCTTGCCAAATGCCCAAGTATGCAGACCCCCAGCATCATTGAATGATCTGGGTGTCTCTGGTTGTAATACATACTGACATAGCGTTATGTTCTACAGCATTTTTTCCTGTTCATGATAGAGTAGATGAAAGGGACTTCACAATTCTCTGACTTGGTCTTTTTGGCTTTTTGGTTCAAGCATTTCAGATTCACCACTACAGGGGTAAATGTTTAAAATAGGAGAAAGTAAAGTAGGAAAAAAATACATGTACACCATGTATTAAAATAAAATACTTAATTTCATTAAGATAAAATCTCTACAGTTTTTCAAGATAACGTAAGTAAACTTTGTTCAGAATGTGGTGGCACTTTCTCCTGGTAGAGGTTGCTCTGATCTTGGGTGTGATTGTATTCCTGTTTTCTTCTGATTATTCCTACTCAGGAGCCTTGAGTAAGCCAAATACCTGCCACCCCAGGTAGACCATTTCTACAGCTACCAAGGAGAGGAAGTTTCATAGTACCCTCTTCCATGCCACTGCACGAAGTGTGCAACAGGCAAAATAAGTTCATGTCTAACTAAAACTCCTAAAATAATTTGTATCTAGTTGAAGATATATGTCCAATATGAATTTATATGTTAACTTTTCTGAATGTATTCTAGAATAAGCCATCATATAAAGCAGTAATATTTATTCATCCTCTCTCAAGAAAGGTTTACATCACATATGTAAGATTTATGCATGTATTTATGTACTAATATGAAATGGAAGAAGGAACAATGATGTGTGCATTGAATAGATTCTTGTCTTCCTTTACAACAACGATGTGGGTAACAGAGGAAGAATTACCTGTGTAGGCATAACGCACCAAAGCTTTCAGCGCATCAGGGTCTACTCCCTCCATCTTGATCTCCTCTTGTTTTGCTTCCCGCACATCGTTAGTGAACATTGCAGCAAAATAATCGGACACTGCACTGAGAACCAACCTTGAAATAAAAGCGTTTTAGGGACACTGCAAATTACTGAATAAACTCAACAGGAAAGAAATTCAGTATTACTATATTATAAATTGTGTGTGCAATACAAACATCATCTTTAGTACAGGATTCAAATATTGTACCATTGAGTAATAAGGTTAAAAGGTGAAAATGGTAATTAGTAATCAAATTTTCTCCTGTAGAGCTTATTTTTGGGCAGATTTTCTTCACCAATCTCCCTATAGTTTGACAGAAGCAATAGGGAAGATGGACAATATCAATGGTTCATGTTTGAATTTCATTCTATTTGAAATCATGACTATGAAACATTGATCACATTTTATTCTGTTGTTAGTTCATGTCCTTATTATAGTAACTGTTCATTCAATATTGAACAGGTTAGGCATAAACTGACCTAGCATTTGGAGATTTCTGGCTTTGAAGCCGTGTAAACAATACTGGGAAACGTACCTGTGAGCTGGAATCTTTTGGTCACCAACTATGAGAAGAACGTCACACAGCTGCTTCTGCTGCAGATAGCTTTCCATTTTGCGGAAAGTTTGCTCTGCATGGTTTGTAGACTGGAAATACTCATCCGAGCCGTTGGTGTTCATTCCAAGCAGGGAGCTGCTGGTCGTTGAGAGCCTGCAAGAGAAAGAGGCAGCGTGATAAGTTTGGCATTACAAACGCTGGCTGCATTCTTCATTTAATTTTTGTTCAAATGGCATTACAGAAATGTTTAAAATTATAAAGCTCTGATGATCCTGGTCGTACTATGCCTTCTTCAATTTTTTTCTGTGTTTGGTATCTGCAAGTTTTCATGTATAAGGCTGCACGTAAGCTGTAGTTTACTGCAGTTAACTGTTGTAGGTGGTGCTCCTGAGTTCTGAGTCAATGATACACGGTTTGCACAGCATCGACGTGATAAATGCAACCTCCTGATCATTCCCGAGCAGAATACATTAAAAAAACCACCCTATTTTCCTGTGATAGTAATAGCTAAAATATCTTGTGGTATGAAAGTTTGGGTATTGCATGTCTTTAGCTCTTATGTTTCTCTTCGTATTTGCACATTAAATTACATTACTAAATGGGAATTAATCAGAAGACAATTTGATAAGGACCACATAATTCTAGACAAATTACCAAACTAAAAGCTGATGAAGTCAGTTTATTATATAGCCTTTAGAATCTAAATGCAAATAATAAGACAAACCGTACACATATTCCTCCCACTCCAGAATCGTTAAATACTTACAAATACTCATAAATCTACTCATAAATCTACATACACCATTTCTCTTATCTCACTGGTTTTTTTAAGACGTCATTCCTTATTGCCTTTTAACATGGATTATGTTTCAGATGGAAATGCCTTTTTGATATTACCTTAGAAAAATATTTATTTTATATTAATCTGTTTTTAGCAACACAGTAGACATATATGTATATCGTATACCTTGAAAATGCTGCAAGTTTCAACACTTTTAATTACAGACTTTTTTCAGAAAAACATTTTCTCAGTTTAATACAATATATTATTAAAACCTAAAGCACCTGGTTCTTAAATTTCCAAGTCCAGCTAGGATATAATGGCAGCTGGTTGACTAAATTTACTGGTTATTTTTCATACTGTTAATGCATATTCCAAAATTATTAGGAGAGAGAAAATCTCTTCATTAAATTAATGTATCCAATTTAGCAGAATATTGGATTAAATTCACAATTGAACATCTAGTTCAGAAAATATGGAAACAAAAGTGAGTAGATCAGGTAGAATCAGTAATATTACCAGAAAATAGAGGTAAGCTATATCATACATTTTAGATCATACATCATGAGAGGGTCGTCAGAAGCTGGAACAGGCTGCCCAGGGAGGTGGTGGAGTCACCATCCCTGGATGTGTTTAAAGAGCGGGTAGATGAGGTACTTAAGGATATGGTTTAGGGGGTAGACAGGAACGGTTGGACGTGATGATCTCAGAGGGCTTTTCCAACCGAGCGATTCTGTGATTCTGTGTTTAAACAGCTAATCAGAATTCAAGGGGAATAATTAGAAATTAAATTGTAATGTAATATTGAATTAAGACACAATGGTTTTCCATCCCCTCTGCAATGCCAGAAAGTTACTGTACATCAGTGCTTTTCAGAATGGTACAGAAAAAAATCCCAGTTGGGGTGGCGATTATGAGTCCGGGTTTTTCCATACATTACACTCTTTTCCACCTGAAAACCTTTCAGTATGAAGTTTTCTGGATGTCTGTATTGCATTTACAGACATCCCACAGCCCATTTGGCATCTTTTGGGCACTGGTCTGTGAAAAGCCTTCAGATCCCCAGCGTGTTTGACTCCTTTCAGATCCAGCAGTGTTCCACATACTCACTCAGGCCCGGCCCTACCAGCCCCACTGGCTGTGTAAGATCATTTGGGGTCTGCAGAGACACGTTACTCCTGGTGTAACTGAGATGTGTCAACCCGGGGAGGGGGGGTGTGTGTGGGTGTGTGTGTGTGTGTGTGTGTGTGTGTGTCACCTGAGGAACAGCAGACCCGCTGCATCTGAAACCCTTAGGTGCATGTGCATGTGTTTCTGTATAAAATATTCAGATTGTACTACTAATTGCAAACACATTAAGATATTAGTGCAATAAACTTTCAAGCTTTCTTTTGAAGCTCCTTATTACAATTTCAAATGCTTTTTCTTCTTTATTTTAAAAGAAAAAGTGGCAAACCAAATTCACATATTTGTATCCTTTATAGTTTACAGCTTACAAAAAATCATTTGTCTCAGTGAGTTTAATAACTATGCTTTTTTATTTGTTTTCCTTCGATGCATCACTGAAAATGAAGAAGCTGCAAAATTAGATTATATGCTCATTAGTTTTGTATCAGCTACTTGATGCTAAGTTCCTCCTCTGTAACGTTCATGTTTTGCTATTTACCATTTAAGCTTTCTTTAATATTTTTCAGCAAATTATTTTTTCATTAACTATCTTTTTTGAGATTCATTATATCCACTCTAAGTATGGTATTTAAGCATGTATTTCATTGCACTTATCCTTGATGTTTGCAGAAAGCAACTAAAATAATACTCAGCCATCGCTATTGCAAATGCACCATAATAGTTTCTCGAAATAAATAATTTGCCATATATTTGTGAGTAAAGCAATCATTTTTAAGCTGCAAGTATTTACAAGGACTTTAATAATTCCCTTCAGTTCTGTGTCCGGTCTTTTTTCCACATGTTGTAGAGTGACCTTTTACTACAGCAGAAATACCACTAACATAATTAATTATTTCAAAGACAGAGTCTTCAGAGACTGAAAAATACTGGAAGCAAAAAAAAAAAAGTGCTGTATTAACTTTGTTAATATTAGAATTGCTGGTTTATCTTCAGCAACTGATTTAATATAGTAGCTAGAGTATATTATGGAAGGGAAAAATGAACTTCAAAGAAAATTACTTGTGTATTTTCCTCAGTCCACAACGGTCACTGCAGAGAACTCGAATATAGACCTTCAGAATATAGCAGTGGGGATCAGTGAACTACAGAAGACAGAAAGGAAAGTATCTTAAAGAAGGAAGTCAGTAAAAATATCCTTGAGCCTGATGCCTTTATGTTGACTTATAATAGGGGATTGCTGCGGATTGTAGCACAGAGATAGCAAGGTAGCTGCAAATGTGCCAGAATGACTATGTCTACCTGTCACATCTTGTTCTATGTGCACGGGGTAATGCGTTGAGAACGCATGGAGAGAACTCAAGCTTCCTGTGAACCTACTCAGAAAGGAAGCATGTAGAAGATGGATAAATATTTGTTTTCTATAAAATGTGTACACATGTGGACAAACAACATCTGAATATTGAGTAATAAAAGTTTCCAGAAGTGCATTGGCCCTGTGATGACTAAGGAATGAGTTTTCCACTCAGTCAGGAGCGAAAACCATCAATGAACTGTTCCGAAGAATCTGGAACCCAAATTGCTTAACGTCGTCTTTGTGGTAGTGTTCACTAGGATGCTGAGTTGCGTTAACACTATTAGCATTAGTAATAACGGCTTAAGAATGTGGATTAGCCTAGAGAAAGCAGAAATAATCTATATTTAAATTATTTCCAAGTAGCTGAGCTCTATGAATTTCGTATTAGGTGGAGAGCCAAGTGAAATAATTTCAGAGTTTTCCTGTAAGGATTTGTGAAGGCTAGTGAAAATATGGTACCACTTTTAAAAAGAAGAAACATGCAATTTTGAAATGGACGAGATAAACAGAAATAATCAAAAAGCATTAAGGGTCTAGACAATAACAAGGAGATAAATACTAGCCAGCATGGCTGTTCAGGATGAATCATGTCATAACAGTTTGGGTTTTTTTTGACAAGATAGCAAAGCTTACTGGGAGAAAAACATTAGTTGTCAGAAGTCATCTTGACTTTTGGATGACTTCTGACACTATTTCACATGACACTGTCAAAGTCAAGCTAGGATGGCATGGTTTAAGTGTAATAAATATGAGAGATATGAATAACTTGTATGGCTATGCTTGAAACTTCTCAGGGATTCACTTTCAAAGGCAGATGATGTTCTGAATGCATCCCAGGCAAATTCTCCTGATGCTGCTCCATATTTTTATTGTAGACAAGCATATGACAGAAACAGCATCTAACTGTTACATCAATGTATGATAGAAAGTCACAAACTTTATGGGGACAAAATTTAAACTCAGAGCATCATCTTTGCCTTTGTCCTTACGGAACCTTAGGCAAATTTTTCTTTTTCCATGACCTGCTCACACTTGTGTGTGAGTAATTACCTGAATGAAACACAGACAGTTGAGGTAACAGCTAGTTTATACTGGACCCCAAAGAAGCTGTGACTGAAATGTGTTGTGGAGGTAAAATTTCATCTTTTCTTTGGCCAGGAGAATTGATGTGATGACTTCTATGATTCATTCCAGGCCTACAATCCTTTAAATTTCTGAATTATGTTAAAATTATTTTCTGTCTTCTTAAAGTACTCTTCATTAATCAGCACAGCACTCTTCCTTAATCAGTACATAAAGGATAAATTCAATTTTCCTCATTATTCTATTAGAACATGATAAAACATGAAAGCTATTTATTTCCCATGTCCTTTTTAAAATGCAGTGTTCTTAAAATGCCTCAATAAGTGTGCCTATGGCAACAAACCAGAAAGTAAACCTCATGAGAAGGAAGCTTAGAAGCATAACATTGCTTGAAAACCAGGTGAGGCAATGCAGAATTTTAATTTTGTTGCTCTTGATACTGCTAGTATTTATATTTTTATGGTGACCACGAGACAAAACTGGAACTTCATCACAGAATCACAGAACGTTAGGGATT